ACATCTCAAAAAGTGCTTGCAAATACTTTTTTTGAATGAATTTTGTGTATTTATAAATGTGTGCTCATTTTTCAGCTGAGAATTACATTACTGTGCCAGTAAAGTCTATCATTAATCACCTGGAACTTGATCTTCAGATTACCTCACTCATGAACTGCTACATAATCACACTGAGAACAGAAAGACTAAGGTTGTTTTTTTCCCAAACTTGTAACTACAAAGGACTTTTGCTCTACATTGCTAGCCCTTTAGTAAGTGGCCCAGGCTGGCCTTGAACTTGAGATCCTTCTACCTGAGACTTACAAATAGCTGTGATTATAGGCCTCTGTCACAGCCTTTGGCAACTTCAAAGCCTTTTAAATCAAAAGTAAAGAAGTGAATTTCTCTCTTCTACATCTGTCAAAAGTGAAATTTTCTGTTGGTTTCATATGTTGTTAGTTGCAAAAAATTTACTGTAATTCCAGCTACTCAGAATGTTAGGTAGGAGAATTGAAAGTTCAAGGCCAGAATAAGTAACTGAATGTGATCCTATTTCAAAAAGAGGTGGAGTAGTTGGGAATGTAGTGGTAGAGCGCTTGTCTAACATATATGAGACCCTTGGATTAAACTCCAGTACTGTGAGATTGTGAGAAGATAAAACACTGTTTCACATGTATTTATGTCATCCTCACCACCCCACAAATGGGAAAGGAGATACAATCATCATGCTTGTTTCAAAATTGAAGTCAAATGAGTTGAAATTAGTGGAAATCAATAATTAGTAAATATGGGAGTTGAGACTTAAATACAGTTTTCTCACCTTTGACTGCAGAGTTCTCTACATTAGTTCATGGTGCCAATTTAAGTTCAGTTATTTGAAGGTACAAAATTATCTAAAGTTTTATCTAGAAAATAAATGTATAAGCTGACAATAAAAATCAAATAATGAGGCCAAAATATAAGGGCTTTTTTGACAATAAGCCCTTACATGGGTACTTTTTAATTCAATATAATAACCTGATGAACTCCTGCACCCATAGTTCCACTGTCATGGGATATAAAACCACAGGCTTCCACTTTGATCTCCTCTCTAGGTGGGTGTGAGATACTCAAAAATACATTTTTCCTTCTTACTTTATCATTACCCAATTTCCTGTATAATTCTTGAACAACCAGCTATTCTGGAATTAACACTCATAACCTGTTCATAGTTTTGAAAAGTTTCTTTCCTTCTGAAATCTTTTGTTCCTGGTAATTTTTCATACTTGGCAGTTGAAACAAAGCTAGGTGATGAAATAATGAGACAGTTTGATTTATTCATTGTCTTTAAACGAATGCAAAACAAAGGCATCCAGTTGCCTAATTTTTGCCCATTCCTCATCTTTCCTCTGGGTTGTTTGTGAACTGCTACTTTTTATAGTTTTCTTTGTTTTCATCTCCAAAATTCTTTCATTCATTGAACTAGCTTTTGCTCTTTAGTTCTTATGTCAAAAAAAATCTGTTGTAAATTTTTTGATTTTATTCACTGAAATCATTAACTATAAATAAATGGTTAAATTCCAATTCTCTTCCCTCAGAGAAATAAATAAGCTGACTCTCCAGCCTTTATATTTTTTGTTTCAAATAATTTATGTCCTTTAAAATTGTCAAATATAAATTATGTTGATTATAGCAAATGTAATACAAAATATCATTATTGCAGCTTTGAAACAAACCAATCAGAAAACTATTAAAGCATGGATTATATCAGCTACATAAATATGGTTTATTATTAATTCACAAATTTTAGAGAGTAATCAAATTCAATGAGCTTCTGAGTGCTTTGCCACTTTGTATTTAACATGTATTTACATAATTGATGACATTGTTTGGAATGAATACATGCTTTATCTTTTTAGGAACATAGAAAAATTAATGATGTAATATTCTACTTACATCAATGAGAAAAAGATAACATTTTGAAAAAATATTAAAAATTTCGTCTTAAAGACCTTGCTGTTTTTGCTTTTGCTTTTTTTTTTTTTTGGTACCGGGGATCGAACTTGGGACCTTGCACTTGCAAGACAGGTGGCAGAACCACTGATCCCTGGCAAGACCTTGCTAACTGTTGAAGAGCAAAAAATAAATTGATTCTCATCTTTCTTGAGCTAATTACCCTAGATGTTTATAAAAACTCATCACGATGATTCCTCTGTAATAAAAAACCTTTACAATTTTTATAGGTTCTGGCTAAAAAATCTAGTAAGTTTTTAAAAAAGAAAAAAAAATGGGCAAAAATCTAATAATCACTATATTTCTTTTGAAGGCAATACACTTGAGAAAGAATATAGCAACAAAATCTCAGGAGTCAATATTTTCAGGTGAGGTGAGATTAGAAACTTTTTTATGAGCCATTGAAAGATCTTTTGTTTCTCTCCTGAATGGGGTCACTGGTTCATATTTCAGCATAGTTTCAAAAAGAGGAGAAATGTAGTTAACACATGTTTTTGGAAATATCCTGTGCCGTTTGACAGAATCACGGTTCCTGTCAGGATGACAAGACTCCTTCCTGAGTGTGTGGCAAAACTAGTGTGGAAACACAGGGAGTGTCAGCCTGAAAGTACTTTCTGGTCATAGCTAGATTGTGGACAGTTACCTCAGCTGTAGTGAGCTCTGCAGGTAAAACATATTCTAGGTACAGAAGCTGGGACTTGTTACAACTGGCTCATCAGGGTGAGGCCGTAATAGTCAACCAAGGGAAAAGTACAGCACACACAAAATGCAAACATCAAGTCATCTGTTGGCCAGGATCTCAAATATCTTATTAAGGAAAGAATATTTTGGTTCACTGTGGTATTTACAATGTGAATCAAAAATGCTCATGGGTAGCTCATTTTTATCAACAACATGTCAGTTTTATATGTTGTCCATAGAGTTTTACATATAAAGACTGTTCCACTCCTTTGTTAATTTGTTTATAGGAAGATACAGAAGAACTTATTCACCCAGAAAATAATTTTATTTGAACTCCAGTGTAAATAAACTTTGAACTATGACTATTTTTAATTAGATTATTATTTAAAACATTAGATAAAACTAGGAGTAGTTAGTTCTTTAACAAAATTAATATTATAACCTAATTTTACATAACCGGTCATTATAAAATAAATCTACAATTTACAAAATAAATCAATGACATTGGATGAAGATTTAAAGCTAGAATTAAACTTCTTTCAATCAATCGATATATTTCCTACCCTATCTGCTGCATGCCTTATATGTAAAATCTGAAAACTTTCCACAAAGAAATAGTTTCTCTGTCTAAAATCAGCTTTGATAGTTTTTGTGGTCCAGAGTTTTGCTTTATTCCATCTTAAGTAATAAAGTTAAAAGATAACATTTATAGCTCAAACATTGTAGGACATTAGGGAAAGGTTCATAACATGCATTTCCAAAGATAATTCTTATAACAGCTTTGTAAACTGATTACCCCTGTTACCCTACTTTACACAGGGCTCCTGTGGGTTATCTAATTTCTAAACATCTCATGCTGCTGAGGGTACAAAGGCTTAAATTCAGAACAATTATTCTTTATAGACTAGACTTGAAAAAAATGTGCCTTAAGTAATCCAAGTACAAGCTTTTCTCTTATAAAACTTTATTTCAATTTCAAATCTATTTCACGTTTTTCAGTTTATTATTAGGTAGGCTTCAAACTTTATTAATTTGACAAAGTAAAGTAAACCATAGAAATAAAACCACACATTAAACACACACATTCAGACATACATGGTTTGTTGGTTGGTGTGTTTTTTTTGGTTTTTTTGGTTTTTTTTAATTTACTGCAGAAATCCTTCAGCAAGCGGCTTTATGTCTGTTCCCTCATCTATCATGGGGATGGTGTCACTTAACTTTCTTGAACCTATCCAAAGATGTGAAAAATGATGCTATATATTTTAAGGATAATAAAATGATATAAAAATAATATAATATATGAGCTAATAGCAGAATTTGTACAATTAAGTGCCAAAGGTTTTAGCAGTTTCTCTGTGCCTGAATTTCCTGTGTGGAAAATATGCAAAACAATTAGCACTCCATATAATTGTTAGTGGATTATATGAAAAAAAAAGTCTGTGTATAAAATTTAGCATGATAGATGGTATATAGACATTTCTCAGTAAAGATTTGGGCCATTTGTTGCTGTTTTCATGGATTTGTTTGCTCGCAACAAATGAAGTAGACTAAACTCTAAAACAAGAAAGAAACTAGCCTGTAATTTAAATGTCCCTAATTAGACCATAGTAAGGAAAATATTTTTCTAAGATAATGGTGAGTTTTAAAACTAGATACTTGGGTCTTCTTTTGAAATAGATTAACAATTTTGCCTTTTTCATGATGAAAATGGAGTTATATTGGGGAAGAGATTCTTTTTGCTCATCATTGATGTTTTCTTTCTGTGTTTTTAAAGATGCATAATTCAATCTCCCTACCAAGAGTTGGCCCTTAAGGAAAATAGATTAGAAGATACCTTAAAAAGCTGAAAGGGAGCAAATAAATTATTTACTATTCCTTTTTTATTGTGTTTACAAATTACCTTTCAGGAAAAGAAAAATGTTTATCATTTTATCACCAGAAGACTACAGTTGCTTCTTATTGTGGTACCTATGGGGGACGGGTTGCCGCACATTCCACAGGTACCCCAATCTGCAGATGCTGCACTGCCTTATATAAATTGGTGTGATATTGACACAGAACTCACTCTCATCCTCTCAGAGACTTTAAATCATCTCTAGAATACTTATAATATCGAATGAAATATAAGTGGTATGTAAATCAGTTATATTCTGATTATCTACAGAACAAGAAAAATTGTGTGCATGTCCAGTACGGACACATTTTTCCCAAATATTTAGGATCCACAGTTATTTGCACCCCTGGACATGGAAACTGCAGATACAGAAGGCCAATTGTATATATTATAAAACAAGAATGGCAGAACTGTGCGCAGTAAAAAGAAAGCAGCCTGTAAGAACAAAACTTACCAAAGTTGATGTAAGATTGAGAATAGTATTAATAGTAGAAACCGATGAGGCAAGAAAGGCAACAGCATGGAATTCTGCGGCTGTGCTGTGTAACGCTGGAAACTGAGGCGCTAAGAAGCCCTGGGGCTGAGCTTTGAGCCGGAGAGCATGTTTTCCCTTTGAGTCTGTGCTGTCAGGGCACTACCTCCTCAGTTGCTATAGAAATCATTATACTACACAACTCTGAAAATCAGAAGCAGATGCATGTTAAAGCAGAAAGGCTGTTACCTTTGTGTGGTTGCTCTAATAGCCTTAGAATTTTAAAAAAGTGATAAAATTTAAAACAAAAGGCATAATTGTTTAAGTAGGAAACTTTGTAGTAAGGATTTTATCATTGAACCAAGAATTACATTTCAGTACAGTAAAAGAGTTGAGTGAGTGTTCTTTATTGTAGGCCTCAGAGTAATCAGCTTATGTTTTAAAAAATAAAACACAGGAAATAACGCCCTGTCAAGGGGAAGAGTGCCTGATTTTAATTAAAAAAACTGAAGATAAGTATATCTTTGAAGGAGTGATGACACCCTGTAAACAAATGCTTTTTGTTTTTAGTATTCCCTGGGGATCACCAACATGAAAGCACAAACACCATACTCACTTTGATTTTTTTTCTTTTTCTTTTTTGTGACTTATATGTATGTTTATGAACATGGAAGTAGATATACATATGCATATTTCCATTCTCTGTATTCTATTCCATACATCTTTTCTCTTTCATTTTATTGATAATTTGGTAAGCGATATTTTCATTTCTAAACTGTGATAATAAATTTGTTATCTGATAGAGAAATCTCAGTAGCCTTTTCTTCATCTCTCTAGGTTATGACAGCCTCACATATTTTGTAGAAAGCAGCCGGTCACAGTTCTCATTTTAGCATGATGACCCATAGAAAAGTCCTGTGATAACAGCTGTGGTTTTTTAGTCTTTCCAAAACAATAGACAACAATGAAAGGACCTAAATTGCAAGACTGCCCCATAATAGACACTGATTTTCCTTTTGATTATTTAATATTGAACAATTATAATTTCATCATTTTAAAAAATTGTCTTTTATATATCTGTACATATATATGTATATATCTATGTGATTAACGTGTTAATCCTTCCATATTAAGTCTCAATACCACTTAGGATTAGCCTAAGAATTTCAAGTAATATAGCCAATTAAGAATCTAAGATAAACTTATGAGTGTCCTAATGCTTGCATTTTGATAATCACTAACAAGCAGGTGTGTTTCAAATTCAATAAAAGGAAGAAATGAAAAGTGCTAAGGGGATAAAATCTAATTAATAATTTGGTAAGCATAAATCAGTATACTATGTTCTAAGGTATAAGACATTAATCCTGTTTGTAAGAGTCTGAGAATCTATTTACAAAAACTGAAATTTCTATATGGAAATAAGAACTGCTCAAGGTTAAATATAGGGACTGTTAAATAAGTGGGGTCACTATTTGGAGGAAGGAGTGACTACCAAGGGGGCCACCTCATTAATGGAGGCTTCCTTGAAATCTTAAAACAGAGTAAGACTCACACAGAAGGAAGGTGTAAAAAGTATTCCAGAAATAAGAAGCAAAATTAGGCAAGATGAAGAAAACAGCATACACTCAGAGTACTTGCTGATTGTAGTATTAAATTATAAGTGAATTATATGCCACATACGTAAGTACACATGTATAGACATCTCTGTGGTATAAACTTGCAGCTTTCTGAGGTCTTTCTGTCTGTCTGAGAATTACTTTAGCTTTTAAAACAGGGTGAAGGAGTGATATTTCACAGGCACTGATGACATGAAGCTTTGGCTCAACAAGTTCTAATCATTTTTATTATGTATCAAGCTATGCTCCTCAGCTTTTTATTCTTCCTTTTGAAGACACCCAGGTGAATAGTCATCACCACAGATCTCTAATGGGTAAGTGTTGCCACTTCACCCATGCTGTTCTGGAATCTCATCATTCCCACTGACAACAGGGAATCCAGTCCTCTAACAATATTGTCTACTGCCTTCTCACAAATGCCTGCCTTTCCATCGCCAGCACATTCCTTGTCAGCTTAGAGCTGAGGGTGTCTTCTGGCCCTCCCAATGAACATAGTCAGTGGTAGGCTTTCCAGTGTTACACAATACAATCATTCTAGTGTGCTCATTTCTGTGAGCCTTCTAATCCCTTCCTTAACAATATACCAAGGCCGTTCTGTCATTTCTCCTTAATTTAATATGAGATCTTCTCTCTCACCTCCCCAAGTTTCCAGGAACCATCCAAGGAGTGTATTATGAATATTTTCAGGTACTGTCACCAGGGACTTTTTAGTCATAGGAGAATGATCTGTTACTGACAAATTCTTTATCAAAAGTATCTTTCACCATACCCAACCCTTACTCCAGCGCAACACTATCAAGATCTACTTTCTATTATGCTTTGTTCATTCATTTTGCTAAAATTAACCATATCCTTAAGTTCCTTTGCTCAATAATTCCTTTCTTTCTTCCTTAGCTCTTCTATGCTGACCAAGTTACAGGACTGGAAGACAGGAAAAGAAGCTGTTATGGCATGTGTTTAGATGGCCCCCAAAGTGTAATGGGGATGAGGGGGCGTTATTTTGGATGTGGCTGAATCCAGAGTGTATGATGCTGGGATGAAGGGCATGTGATTACTAAACCACTATACATGAGTGACTGGTTTGCCACTGCCTTACTCCTGGTAGTCTGAATAAGACAAAGGGACAGAAAGATGCTGTTAAGGTCCCTTGTTGCTTTTGCTGTCTTCCACAGCCATGCACTGTTGCCCCTCTCCCAACTTGCCTTGGAGCCAGCCAGTTACGGAGTGAAACCATTGGAACAGTAAGCCAAATAAACCCTTCCCCCTTTAACTTTGGGTGTTGGGTATTTTGTCTCAGCAATGAGAGAAAAGTAACTAACACAGAAGTGGAATCAGATATAGAAGAAGAAAAATATCATCTTCCAAGGGATCCACCTAAATTGAGGCATTGGCATGATTCTTAGGGGAAAAAAAGCCTGCTATCCTTTAACAAAACAAAATAGAACTGTGAAAAAATAAATTTCTGTTGTTTAATTGACTCAGTATGTGAAATATTTTTATTGTACCCCAAGAAAACTAAGACAGTAGCCATTGACAAGCATGCAGATGAGAGCACACTTGGGACAGGCATGCACAGAGTGAAAGAGAAATCTGAGGAGGTGTGGGAAGCATACCCAGGATGTCTGCTCTGGCCTTAACCTTTCATTCTCAGTAAGCCATTTATAGAATGTCTAATTCTTATCCTTCAACTTCAGTGTTTTTTCCATTAGACATCCTACTTTCCGGAAAGAACCTGATAAGGCTTCTACTGGAACTTGAATTTGAAGCTGATGACTCATACTTGGACAATCTAAGTGTTGAATGATTTATCCAGGGCTGCTTTTATATAATAGAGGCAAAAGAAAGTATATGTCTGGATATTGGGAGAGTTATTTTGATGTATCTTGATGTTTCCACACCTTTTGATTTGATAATACTGATAGGGTAAATGCAACAACAGCAGAAGGATGAAGGCAATATACCCAGGGCACAGCCCTTCACAGTGGAAGAAATGAGTCACCACAGAGTAATTAATCTAGATGAGCACAGTGCTAACCGAGGATGAGAGGACTCTGGAATAGGTAGTGGACAGGGGGAAGAATGCTTAAAAATATTGTAAAATATTTTATATAGTCAAGTTTAGGGAATTGTTACCAGCAGGTGAAAAATATACAGTAAACAGTCATATGACTGGCACAATTTCTTCACTTCTATAAAAGACAAAATGTTACAGTTGATATTAGTTTAGTTATTCCTTATCATTATTGTTTGTATGATTTTTATCTTTACCTAGACTTCTGATTTTACATGTTTATTACCAACAGAAAAGATTTGTTTTGACTTTTATCTCACAAATTATGACATATATTTCTTATTATACACTTAAAAACACCATAAAAATGGCAATTGTTTTAAATTTTGAATAATAATATATAGAGATGCAGTTCTTCTTTTACAAAAAAAGTAGCCAAACAATAAATGTGATATAGGAATGGTTTTTTTTTTTAAGTTAGGGATATTTTGTGTAAATATGCACAAAACTCAGGTGATATTTTTATTTCATCAGACATGATCATGAATATGAAATTGTTTAGTACTACTGTCAATAACAAGTCAAAATCTTTCCATGTAACTCTGTAAATGGTATTTTAAAAAAATAATGTAAAAATGGCCATGTGTTACTTGCAAGGATGAATCCTTTGGAGGCAGTATTTATATCCATAGGATGCAAAATACTCCAAACACAGCTGAACACCTTTTTTTCAGAGCTAGAATAAATACCTAAATAAATATTACTTGGAAAATTATACTCTATTTGGAAAATTATTTTGATATTAGCTTCACAGATGTTCCAGTGTTACAACGTTATACCTTGTATATTAATTACCTTTTCCCTAGTGTTTACTAACTTTTCAAGCTGTTAATGCAGGCAGAAAAATCGCATGTTGCAATACAATAATGACAATCTTCTTTCCACGGTGATAAGCTGAGTTAGCATTTGGAGCTGGGAAACTGAACACCAAATAACCAAAAAATGTTAACTTTCTAACTCAGCCAACCTCCAATGAACACACGAAGCTTCTGCATATCGTGTGACCGTCCACATGTTATTTTACTTACTAGGCTTTGGGATATTTTTTAAACCTGTAAATTGAGTGATAATATTGCTGCAGATGGGCATAAC